ATTTATAATACGTATTGTACACTTTACTCATTTTTTACGGATACCAACAAGAATAATTTAGGTAACACACTAATAATACATTTATAAGATATGCACAATACATTTTTAATACATATTGCAACCATCGCTCATTTTCTTAGTGATAAAAGCAAAGATAATTTATAAGATACATATGATATAAGTTTTATTCATGAATAATATGAGTTTAATCCAGTTTATAGATCGTTGTCTTGTCTTTTGTTAGTTGCGTTTTTCATTCATTCTTAATTCTATCTTTTAATTCAACTTTAATATTGTGTAATACAATTTTAAAGCAATTTAATTTATTTTGTAATTTTTTTATTTATCTGTTACTATTGGATTACTTGTTTAATTCATTATTAATACAAGTTTAATTTACTTTATAGATCATTGTGTGTAATATATTTTTAATCCAACTTTAATATGTGTGTAATACATTTTTAATTCAAATTTAATTCATTTTGCAATTTGTTATGTCACTTCATTTGTTACGATTAAAATATTTATTTAATTAATTAATTATTGATACAAATTTTATTCATTCTATGAATCATTCACTACTCTATGAAGAAAGTAGAGAGAGAAACAAAATGAAAAAAAAAAAAGCAACAGTAAGAGAGAGAAAGAGCAGCAAAAAGAAAAAAACAACAAAAAGAAAGTAAGAGAGAAAGAGCAACTAAAAGAAAGGAGCGAGCAAGAGAGAAAAATTAAAAAACTGATAGAGAAAAAAAGAGAAAGAGGCGAGAGAGAGAAAAATATAATAAAATATATAGTATTATTTTATATTGCTATAAATGGTAATAATTAAAGAGTATATCTAAAATAAGTAATTATTTTTTAAAAAGGATCCACTCAAGTAATTAATTCATTTTTAAATTTATAAACCAAACCAAACTAATAAAATTCGGGTTTTTCAACCTCGGGTTGGTTCGGGTTTTTCAAATACCAAACCAAACCATTGTGTCGAATTTTTAAATTTATAAATCAAACCAAACTAATAAACCTCGGATTTTTTTCAGATTTTTGGATTTTTTTCGGTAAAGTTTGCATATAATTAACTTGTGCTCCAAATATTTCTTTAGTCAAACCAAAATACAATTATCTAAGGTGTTTCTTAAAAAAATAACACAAAATATGAGATTAGTACTGATGACACAAAAATATTCAATAAAAAATAATAATGAAATCATCATATAAAATAAAAATTGCAAAGTCATAATAAAAATGATCATAATTTAAAAGTACTAAATCATACTAAAATAAGTTTAATAAGTATTAGTTACATTACAAATATTTAAGGAAAATTAAAATTAAATTATGTATTTTAATTGTCTAAACCAATGTAAAACTAAAGAACAAATATTCAATATTATTGTCATTCTTAGTGTTGAATTGATTTTCTTTTTGCATTAGTATTAATTTGATTTTGATTTAAGTTTTATTATAATTATCAACATCTATGAACTATAATCTTTATTGGACCATTTCGAATTCTAAGTTTTAAACTTAAAATAATATATTAAAAGATAAAAACTATGAAATAGTATTAGAAATATTTTAAAATTTTATCAAAGTAAATATTTTTATGTATGAAATAAAATTTTAAAATTACATATATAATGTCGGGTTAGTTTGGTCTCGGGTTGGTTTTTTTTAGTTAACCAAACCAACACAAATATAGTCAAGTTTTTTTTCCAATACCAAACCAAGTCAAACCAAATCACTAGTCGGGTTTTTTTTTGGGTTGACTCGATTTGCGGTTTGGTTCGGTTTTGTACACCCCTACTTATTAGACTGATTTTAGCATGATTTTGTACTTTCAAATTATGATCATTTTCATTATGACTTTGCAAGATTTATTTTATATAATGATTTCATTATTATTTTTTATTGAATATTTTAGTGTCATCACTCATCTCATATTTTGTGTTATTTTATTAAGAAACACCTTAGATAGTCGTATTTTGGTTGGACTAAAAAAATATTTGGAGTACAAGTTAATTATATGTTTGTATGCACTTTACCGGAAAAATCCAAAAACCTGAAAAAAAAAATTTTTTTTTTTGATGACAAGGGAAACCCGCAGTCGCTACCCTTTGAGTGCGCACATCAATAGCTCGCAAACCACATAGGAGAGGTAACCCGCACTAGGCAAGCTCAGTGGGATGAGCTCGACCCAGAAGGCAAACCCCTTGCTTTCGCTGGCAAGGGGTTTCGAACTTGAGACCTCCAACATGGAAGTCCCAAGCCCAAACCACTGGGCCATCCCGAAGGATAAAAAATTTAGGTTTATTAGTTTGGTTTGATTTAAAAATTCGGCCCAATGATTTGGTTTGGTATTTGAAAAATCCGAACCAACCCGAGTTTTATTAGTTTGATTTGGTTTGATATTTAAAAAACCCGAACCAACCCGGTCATGTACACCCCTATGACATGAATTAGCTTGTTCGAGGGGCAGATACACCTTATGTCAAGTGGTGTCATTCAATTCGCTATAAATAATGTAATATATGAATTGGTATAAATAATTACGGGTAACACCACTTGATAAAATAGATTTCGTTGTCCATCGATTAAGTTAGTTCACTATGAAAAGAAGTTGTACGTGCATTTGATTTATTTTTTTAACGTGTTTAGTGTTTACTATATGATTGTATATATTTTAACACATGAGTTTTTATACAATTTTATGTTCAATGTATAAGCTTACCTTTTAATGAAAACACAAACTTTTATCATTGGACTAGGAATCCTTTGTTAACCGATGTCATCTTATATCCTTTGAGCTTGTTTCTTAAAAAAGGATGTACATTTGAATTGTATTTTGTCATTATGTTCTTGTCACAATAATTTGTTCATTTGTACACCTTTAAAACCGTCAACACTGCTTGCCAAGATATTGTGTATATCGTAAAAGGTGATAGTGGAGCGATAAGTACTTCTTCATTCTTAATTAAGGTTTCGGATATGAGCTTTGGTGTATGAACTCATCGCTTTACCCCCAAAGCGAAACTTTTCAATACAAATACGAGAGCGGGACAAAATATGTTACTTATTTATCTACTTAAATTTTGATTGACAAAGTTATATGGTATCTTTACTAGTCGAGTTATATCATTTGAAACTCCAAAACACTGTCCTAGAATTAAAAACTTATAGAAGTTGAAATCTGCAAGTAAAATTCCACTATTTTGGAGTTCGAAATTTTATACAAATTATTTTGAAGTTCAAAATTGTACCGACTATCTAGAAATTTGAAACTTGTACAAGTAAAATTCAATAACAAAGTTCTAAAGTCCAATTCTAACATTGCATAGTACTACGGAAATTATCAAGAAGTTTCACTCACATTTGTCTTTTAAGTTGTAACTATAATTAAAGTTTCAAACTAAAACATTAAATTTTAGGACACATTATTTTAAAGTTTTAAACTGAAAAATTGAACTTAAGGAAACAATATCCGAAGTTTTTAAATAAGTAACAAAATTTCAATAAATATTTTGAACTAAAAAATTGAATTTCAAAATACATTATCATGAAATTTGAGGAGTGAGAGGAAGAATAAGCAATATCAACGCTCTTTTAAATTGTGGTTAAGTATTAAAACGTTTACAACTGTTGTAAATAATGAAATGTGGATGTCCGATAGCAAATCCACACTTCACGACTTTGAAGATTTTCTTGATGATTTTGAAGGATTACAAATACACTCCTACTTTCTATATATATATTCCTCGTATCGATAGAAACACACACTACGAAATATTAGAAGGAAAAACATTATTACAGTTTTTTTCTTCTTTCTTTGCTATTTAACTGCGTTATTTAACATCGATCATAAAAGTGGCTACCTAGTCCATTTCCACTTTTATTAACCTTATCAAAAAATAAAAGGATAGCAAAATGATGTGATCAAGAAAGTGATTGAACTGGTCCATTATGTTTGAGGTATATTCAAAATTGTCATTTAAAATATACTTCTGAGCAATTCAGTCCTCTACATTTATCAAAGTGAATACTTTTTATTTCTGTCAAATATTTAATAACTTTGAATATTAGATTTAATAGAAAATGTGGAAAAGAAATGTAACTAAAATTACCAAAAAGGTTTCATTAAATCTCAAAAATGGTAACACTAAAAGCCGCACAAAAACAACAAAAATTGCACTTAGAAGTTGAAATATCAAATCCAAAATGTAAAAATCACACCTCAAAATGTGGTATTCATGTTATTATCCTTTTTCTTCACAATTTTCATAAAATCTAACAATTAAATTCTATTACTTATTTGATGGTGATCAAAAGTACTTAATTTTAATAAAGTTTAAAAAAATCAAAATTATTAAAAATATATTCAATGACCCTTTTGGATAGCATCCTAAATATAAAAGCACTACTTTTATATTTATAAAAAGAATTGTAGTGCATGATTAATTGAATTCACTCTTATAAAAGTATCTTTTGCAACAATAATTATGTGGCTCATATATGATATGTCCACTAATGAGTCTTTTGGTTGATGAATAGTTATAAAAGAATAGTAGTGCATGATTTTATTTATAAGAAAATTAAGCTACATGTTATGTTTCAACTTGTTCGTCTCTCTTCTATTTTTTTCGATCTCATTTACTTATCTTTCTACATCTTTCAATCTTCCTCGTCTTTCTATTTACTAAAACTATTACTCTAAATTGTAATTAGGTAAACTATAACTATTTATAAAAATTTCTTTGCTATTTCATGCTTATACTTATTTGTTATAACCAAAGAATCTGTCAAAGAATAAACTCCATTATAATTGCAATTTGCAATATGAAGTATGATTCGAAAATTAAAATATTTAAACTTAAATTAACATGAATTCAACTAATTTCTTTTTATTTTATTTTTAAAAAATTTCCTTTTTTTTTTTTTGCATAATTTTGATTTTGTTCAAACAACTCCCATCTCCCCCAAAATTTACCCCAAGAAAAAGAGAGTAAACTTCTGGTGGACTCACCGGACTGGCAGAATCCACAGGGAAAAATACATCTATTTGACGAATCAAAGTTCACTCCTATACGCATCCGTCACTTTCCTCCATTATTCTCGTAGAAGAAAAGGAATTCCTCATCACCCAAAAGTGACATTCACACCCAAAAACCAAAAAAACCCAATCTTGATCCCAATTTTCTCAAAATTCGCCTCTAATTTTGGGGTTATTCGACGAGGGGCTCGAATTTTTGAGGTTTTGGGGGTTCATAAGACAATATATATAGTGTATCAGGGAGGTGGAAGATGTTATCAGATCATTTTCAAAACGGGGTGGAGACGGCGAAGCTGATGTGGTCACGGATTCCGGCGACAGAGGAGGAGGAAGTTGGCGAGGTGGGTCCATCAAGAAAGGGCAATGGGAGCACTGTGGAAAGTCTTGATTATGAAGTTGTTGAAAATTTTGCTTATAGGGAAGAGCAGGTGTGTCTTTTCTAAAGCTCTAGTCTTTTTTCTGTTTTGTTTCAACAAAAAAGATAACAGCTTTATGCTGCTTATTAAAAAAAGTACTAGTTCTATGTTAGGACAGAAATGCTCAGTTATTGTTCTAAATATACTTGTTTTATAGTTTATACTAGTATTGTAAATGGAAAAAAGAGAGGCTAATTGCTTTACATTTGGAAAATAAGATAGCTGAAGTTGTGTTTGATGTGTGTTTTATATGGACAGGCTAAAAGAGGAAAGCTTTATATGGGATATGCTGTTTTGGTTAAGTGGTTCTTGGCGTTACTAATTGGAATTGGTGAGATTTTTAATCAACTTAATCTATGGTTATTTCTCTTTATGCCCTGTAGAAATAGATTATCTAGGGTATGTTCTTGTCCCTGGTACCCCATTTACTTCAAATTAAAATTGTTTGGAGTTAATTTTTTGCTTCACATGGAAGTGTGGGAAGGAATGGAATTTTATGATACCAGTTTTCTGTATGTGAGTAGTTCTAACCTAGAGGAAGGTAAGAGTGGTTGTTTCCGATAGACCCTCGGTTCAAGAAAAGTATTTTCAAAAATAGGTTTGGCAAATACAAGAACAAAAGATATAGTGGAAATATGGTAGAAGAAAAGTAGTGACAACAAAATAATAAAAATAACCCAAGTTAAAGAAACATCAATAGTAATACAATTGAAGAATAGGATAATAATAGAAAAATAATAAAGATACTGATAAGTAGAGAGGGAGCAGACAAGATGCTCTAAGCTAGAACCATGCTTTCCCACAGGAAAGAGAGAGATCGCTCGACTACCTACTAAACCTCTACCCTAATTTTTTACCTCCATGTTTTCCTATTTAGGGTCATGTCCTCAGTGCGCTAAAAATGTGTCACGCGTGGAAGCAAGCTAGGCCCCTATTTTGAGAAGTTGGGGTGAAGAGTGCATTTCCATCACAAAAGATTAAAGCCACCTACAGGTTCCTGCAATGATCTGATCACTTTGTCACATCTCTTCAATACGACTACAATAACGATCATAGTGATCTTCTCTGGTACCTACTTTGATGGCAGGATCCAATTGATCATGAAAATTGTAAGATGCTTGTCTTTTGTATCGTATCAAGAGATTTGACATAGAAAAGATCGTTGCTTAAAGAGTTACATTGTCAAATTGATCTCGAAATTGGATCCCAATAATAGTTGCTGCCCAAAGGTGCTTTATGAAAGCCGGTCCATAATGGTTCATGTCTAATCACCTCTCCAAAATTCTTACTCTGTCTGCTTTACCTCTCCTTAAACCTATTCTCGAACCTCCTCACTGGAGCACCTGTGCTCCTCCCCTCCTTTTTACATGCTTGAACCATCTCAGTCTTGCTTCCCTAATCTTGTCCACAAATAGAGCCACTCCCACCTTGCCTAGTATATATTCATTCCTAATTTTATCTCTCCTTGTGTGCCCACACATCCACCTAAGCATCTCCATCTCCACTACATTTATCTTCTGAACATGTGAATTCTTGACTAACCAATACTTTCCCCCTACAACATTGTTGGTGTAACATCCACTCTATAGAACTTCTTACTCAAATTTTGGATCCATCATACTTGTCTTTAATTGCTCTAGTATATGCCACAATTACACCTCCAGACTAAAAGCATCTCCATATAATCTCCCTAGGGACCTTGTCATGTGCCTTTTCTAAGTCTATGAACACCATATGCCAGTCTCTTTTCGTATCTGTATATTGCTCTGACGATGTCCTTAGAAAAAGTTGAATGGCTGCCGTAGTTGATCGTTGGAAATAGACACATCCCTCATCATCCTCATCCTCATTCTCATTTCTATTACCCTCTCCCAAACTTTTAAAGTGTGGCTTGGTAGTTTAATACCCATGTAATTGTTGCAATCTTGAATATCTGGTGCCCGTTGCAAGAAAAAACTCAGTTGTTTAGCCTTCGTATAAGACATTTGGAGGATCTATTTTCACACGATTCAAGATTGCGCGTGAGCAGATCCTTCTAATATTTAGGTCATCGATAGTAAGGCGGCATTATACAAATAAAGGGACAGAGAGTAGAGTTGAGAAGAAAAAATAAATTTCCAAAATCACATGTGACATGTGTCATATGAACTATTTTGTTTTGTTGACTCCTGAATGGTGCATGTCAATAGGTTGGCATATAACTGTTGTCCATATTAAAACTTTAGCTGAAACATTATTGGAGGAAGAATAGGTTGTTTATTTTACCTGCTTATATCGTCAGCAATAGAGAACTGGCGATCTTGGAAAGGCATCTTTTGTTAATCTTTGCATGTCCTGAATAAAATGGAACAGAAAAATTGAGGTGGAGAATCCATATACCCGACCCAAACTAATTTGGATTGTGGAGTAGTTGATTGATTGATTAGTCTTTGCCTGGTTGATGTTATTATTTATAAATGTAAAGCCAAGACAAATATAAATCTAAAGCTAAGACAAAATTTTCTCTTGTTCAGTTTCTGTTTTGGGAGCCCTAGCTAGCTCTTGCCTTCTAGGGTAGGTATTTGATTTATTATATAGACGAGAGCTTTTAATATTCAAAAATTGAGAAATTAAATTTTCTACTTTTGCTTTGATTAGCCTCTACTCGGTCATAAATGACTCCCTATAATCAAAGTCCTTCATTTTATTGTAAAGGAATATCTTAAAAATCATTAATTACTGTGCTGGGGTTAGCTTATTCTTCATGAATGGCACCTCACGTTTAAAGAAGAATATTGCAATATTTCTGAGATTTGGAACTTACATTGTATATACTATATAGCGTAAATAGTTATTGTGATAGTCAGACGTATTTCAGAATGATTGTATACAAGCCATCAAGGTAAAACTTTATTTTAACCTTACCATTTCTCAGGAAAAAGAAAGAAAAAATTGATTTAACCAAATGAGATTATAGTGCTAAACAGCTAAAGTCCATTTTGGCGGTTTCAAATGTTGAGTAATGCTTCATATTTTAGTTCGTGAGTTATTCATCATTTTCCAAACTATTAAGCAGGACTTTTTGATCAGAAAAATTTTGTTACAATTTTCTCATGTAAAATTCCAAATGCAATGTGCATTATCCTTGGTTTTGGTGCGTAGAATAGCTTTTGAGAAAATAAACTTGTCAGTGCCCCTTTGGAACTTGCCAAATGATTATATTTCTGGCTCAACTTGGAGCTTTATCATAGTTTAGCACCTCAGAAGTAATCTCTCTCTCTCTCTCTCTCTCTCTAGGAAAAGCCCTTTTCCAGATGGAATGGTTCTCTTTTCATGGGCTGGAAGTTTCAGAGTAGCTTAGTTCATCATCTGAATCCCGTCCTTCAACGTGGATGCTAGGACCAATCTTGTTGTAGGAGTATATGCCTATATGGGTGATTGGTGAGCCATGAGTTTATATCAATTATGGAAAATCTGGTGATTAATATTTTGGAGGGTTGTGATTTCTATTCCCTTCTTGTTGTGTTCTGAAATGGTGGAGTTATGAGAACTAATAACATGCCTCAGTGAGCAAGACTTAGCTACCATTTCGTTCTAGTAATCTTATTCTCTTTTATTTTTGTATTTCAATAAGCATTTGATCTAATAGTCGCTCTCTCATGAACTGAGTTCCTATTCCTTTGCTCTCAGGCACAGGACTTGCTGCTGTTTTCATTAATCTTTCCGTTGAAAATTTTGCGGGATGGAAGTTCTCATTAACATTTCAAATTATTCAGAAGTCATACTTTGCTGGATTTCTGGTGTATATTTTGATCAACCTGGTTCTAGTATTATCTTCTGTATATATTATCACGTGCTTTGCACCAGCAGCGTCAGGATCAGGAATTCCTGAAATAAAGGGTTATCTAAATGGTACACTTGTACTTTCTGGTATTAATTGTTAAATCTCTGGCTAGGATAATATCTTCTGGGTTACTCATTTTGGTCTGTATGTGTAGGAATTGACACACATGGTATCCTTCTTTTCAGAACTCTGATTGGAAAGGTATGATAGCACACCTAAGCTTTGATCTGGATTCTCTATCACTCTTAATCAGATAATTTGTTGTTATTCTTACTTGGTCTTTTAGATTTTTGGAAGCATAGGTTCAGTGGGAGGTGGTCTTGCTCTTGGCAAAGAAGGGCCTCTTGTACATATTGGTGCTTGTATTGCTTCTTTGCTTGGACAAGTGAGTATTACTCCTATTTTTTTCTTCTATAACTGCATTTCCCTTAATGATTTTTCATGAATACAACTTTTATCTTATATCTTCTTAGTTTTGGCAATGGAACATTTGTTACTGAATTCTATGCTCTGTTACTGCACTTACATTTTGATTTTTCATGAGTCCAAATTTTATCTTATATTCTGAGTTTTCGCAATGAAATATTTGTTGCTGATTCTATGTTCTGTTTGTTTTACCTGGTCATTTGAATCAAAGATCTGATACTTGTTCTGTATTGGTGATCATCTAAAATATGTTCAGTATTTACTTCCAAACATCATGCTGAATGTTCATGTATTTTGATGTAATTGCAGGGTGGAACCACAAAATATCACCTTCAGTCAAGGTGGCTCCAAGTTTTTAGCAGTGAACGGGATCGTCGTGATTTGGTGAGTGACTGTTGTCTTTTTGGATCTCTGAACTTGTAATATAAGAATCTTGTTAAGGATCTCTAGACCTGTAATTTAATATCAATCCATATAATTGTGATAAGGATCTGTGAGAATCTGTAAAAATGATATCACTCTTTCCAATCTAGGTTAGACCGTTTAAAGCTTGAGGTACTAATCTAGCTGAACATTCTAAATGTGTTCTTTTCTTCTTTTTTACTTAAGGTGTCAACTTTTTTATGAATCTTAGAAGTGCTAAAAAGATTTGGAGATGAAAGCTAAGATCTGGTTTTTTAAAGTTCTCATGATGAGTTTTTCTCAAAAAAAAAAAAAAAGTTCTCATGATGAGAGGGGTTTTCTGTGCTCTAAGAAGTCCTTACTCCTTTGTATCTGTTGACTCAGGTGACTTGTGGATGTGCTGCTGGAGTTGCTGCTGCTTTTAGAGCTCCAGTAGGTGGTGTATTATTTGCTCTTGAAGAGGTCACTTCTTGGTAATTCTCATCTCTCCTTTGAGCTTCTTTCATGTACATCTAGTGCAATTTATGAGATATCTTCCTTGTTGAGCAATTTTTACTTCTGCATACTTCTATTTCTGACATTGCTAATGAGCAGTATATAAACCATCAATGTTAAGCCCATTGCTGTTATGATTAATCGTCATATTAGCTGGTAGACTGGTTTTTGAAAAAGCACGGACATGGTTAGCTTTCACTTTGTACCTTTCTGAATGTGGTGCTCTTTACTAGGAACTATAATCTGTTTGAATTATTTTATTCTTTCAATCATAAACAACACTATGCTTTTACTTCCACTTGAGTAGTCGTTAGCATGTTCTGCAATGTGAAAAATTAAATGCCGTCTGATCATATGTTGTTTCATTATTGATCAAAAGGTGGAGGAGTCAACTAATGTGGCGGGTCTTCTTTACCTCTGCAATTGTAGCTGTTGTTGTCCGTACAGCAATGGGATGGTGTAAAGATGGAAACTGTGGTCATTTTGGCGCTGGAGGCTTCATTATATGGATATCTCTGGGTTAGATTCCGAACTCATTTAAGTCTTCTACACTGTATCCTAGTTACACTTTTGACCTCTTACAATTCTCTCAGTGGTCAAGAGGACTATTCTTTTGAGGAGTTGTTGCCCATGGCAGTTATTGGAGTTATAGGAGGTCTCCTTGGTATGTATGGTTGATATTAAGATGTTGAGATACCAGAAGAATATGGTCGGTAAATTAATTGGTCACACATTGACTTTTGCAGGAGCGTTATTCAATCAGCTTACCCTCTATATGACACACTGGCGTAGAAATTATTTGCACAAGAAAGGAATTCGTGTGAAAGTAAGATAACTTATTAAGAACAAGAATTTCTTACTTCATAAAAAAATAAAAAAAAATCTCACAGTTGTGTATTCTCGTCTTTGAAAATGAGTATGCATTTCCTTGCTAAGCTCGATGAACTAATTTTGTGGTCTGCCATTCTCAGATTATTGAAGCTTGTCTCATCTCTGTGATAACTTCAGCTATTTCATTTGGATTGCCACTCTTTAGAAGATGTACTCCGTGCCCTGAAGCCGATGCTAACTCTGGCATTGAATGTCCGCAAGCACCAGGAATGTTTGGCAATTATGTTAATGTAAGGTCCTCTATGACTTATAACTTCTGTTTTATTTTATCTTTATTCAATCATTTAATTTCTGTTACTTTGCTTTTATGATTTTATTTTTATCATATTTTTAAGCTTGAAATCTGTTATGCTGCAAGTGGTCGTCCTTTCTAAATCCTATGCACATAGCCACATACATGTTATTGCATATCAAGCAATCAATGTCTATTAATGGGGGCCACAAGCTGTGACATCTGGAAGAGTAGAGTCAACTGTCTTAATTCTTAACTAATCTATTCTTTCAATGGTCATTATTGATACTTCTTATATCATTCTTCAATACAGGCTGGGGCCTGCTTGGGTGCTTGTACTGTTGTACATATAAATCACTTGTGAAAAAGTAGAGTAAAATGTGTACCGTCTCTTGGATATGGTTCCACGATTCTATTGTCGTGTTTGTTTCAAGTCTCTGTTTTGTTAGATAGGTGAAACATTTATTCCTCTAGCTCCAAGTAGAAAGTTCTAAATTAGAACCTGTTTATGATGATTAGGCATTTGCTGTAAGCCATTGAAAGTGCATTCAAATCTGTTATGTGCATACTCCATCCAGGACTAGCAGTTGATTTACGATCCTGGCTTGATTAATTATGTGCTGAAAGTTAACATCCAAATAAGTACTATACAGTATTTTCTCAAGAAAAAATAATAATTATGTGCTGAAAGTTCAAATCCGATTCCAGGCTTCACTGAAATATCGTGAAATGTTTCATTTTCCTTTGTGGTGTGTGTTGTATTGTTATTTGCTTCTGTATTTTTCTTGATATCCAATTTTGCTTTCTTCATTTGTTGGTGATGTTTGGATTTTGTGCATTTTGCAGTTTTACTGTCAGAACAACAAGGAGTACAATGACCTCGCAACCATATTCTTCAACACTCAGGTCTTTAAACAATTCCTGAACCTGTGTTTATTTTAAATAGAAAGCAGTGGATTTTCCTTTTCACTGATGGAGCTTTATGTATCATACATGTCTGCAGGATGACGCTATAAGAAATTTATTCAGTGCGAAGACAGCTCATGAATTCAGTGCTCAAAGCCTACTTACATTTTTGGTATCTCTACTTGTTAACTTTCTCCCTCCCATTTGTGTGAATGATAGCTTCATGTATTTTATGTGTTCGTCCCGACTTTTACATTTGGGTGAACTGTAATTGATAATTTGCATGAAAATTCATGTGCTGAAAAACTTAGCAAATTATGGTATCAGTATTGAGAATCTGAGATCCCCATTGAACTACTGTTTCTGAAATTTAACATTGTAAAAAATTTCGTGATGTTATCTTGAGTTTAAATCAAATCTTCTTCCTTTTACCGGGATGTGAGTTTCTTGTGGGGTGGATAGGATTTTCTCATCTGCACTTGAACTTCCTTTTTTTTAAAACTATAATCAAATTAGTGTTCAGTGCCACACAATGCTATTGTTGTGCTCAGGGTGTGTTGAGTGAACTTTAATTGATGCTGGAAACACTTGTCTTTTTCAACTCTTCAAATTTTATGCCTATCTGCCAATACTGCTAGAGTTCTGTGCTCAAGTGCACTCTTTTCTGATGTTTATGCAGTTTAGGGAAGAAAGTTATAGCAAAAACCTCTCTCATGTCTTGATGGGTTACAATTATGTGGGAAATTAATGGTTGGTGTATTTGTCTCTCAGGTTATGTTTTACACCTTGGCAGTGGTAACCTTTGGAACTGCAGTTCCAGCAGGTCAGTTTGTGCCAGGCATCATGATAGGATCAACTTATGGACGTCTTGTTGGCATGTTCGTGGTTAGCTTTTATAAGAAGCTGAACATTGAAGAGGGGACGTAAGCATTTTTTTCTTATTTACTCCTTCGTTATAGCCATATACATTATAGATTTATTCTCTGGTGAAAGCTTTGACATAGGCATACTGGAATTAAGTTTTTTTTTCCCCTTCAGTTCAAAAAATGTGTTCCGCTTAATTCTGAGTTCCTCCAAGTATTTAAGTACATGATCACTATTGGCCTCTCATCTGTCACTTCTTAAAGAGGTGAGGTATCACAATTGACTGAAGCAGATCCCCTGATGTTCAAGGAACAGAGCATAGTATGCTTCTTGATTTTTGATACAGTAAACAATTGGAGGATCACTTGATCGAAACCACAACCATCTCTGGAATTCCTATTTTCATTTTGTTTCTCTTTTTTTTTCTTCTGGTGTATTGGGGGGTGGGGGTGCGAGAAGAGAGTCAATTACTAGGCCTCCGCTCTAGTTTAACAAAATTAGACCTAGTCTCAGAGGACGTTCTGAGAATCTCCCTTGCAGTTTACCTCCCTCTGCAGAACCATCATATCACAATGGTGTCAAAGAAAATGGGAGTGTTTCTGCATTGTATCAGCTTGGCTTGACTAATGCTGTGGATGATCATCAAGATAATCTCTTTTTAGTTACTACTGGTGGTGTGTCATACTCTCTTTTTGCAATATGCTGGGATTGTGTAGTCTCTGGTGTTGTCCATCGGGATCTCTAATCAATAAGCAAATAAACGGTTATGCTGATTCTGCAACATTAGTCAGTTCAGACTGGCTCGTGTCGTAGATGGCAATTAATCTAAATTACCAGTTGAAAGTGGTTTGATCTTCCACCAGCTTGATGTCGTTAGATCTGCAAGTTTTGAAATGATTGATTGCATTTTAGACAGAATTAATTGAAATAAAAAAATTTACCTTATCTGTCCCTCCCTCCCCCCAAAGAGAAGGCTAGTAGGTGTTTAAAATATTTTATCTTACCTTATCCAAGGAAAAAAAGATGTTCAGAAATTCTTAAGCTATTCCAGTCATTACTTTAATCAGAAATTCTTAAGCTATTCCAGTCATTACTTTAAGGTTTTAGGTTCGATATTCTGATTTTTTTTTCACATGATTAATCTTGCACTGGGTACTCCTTTCTCTTCACTCACCTCCTAAGTCTACTAAGCTTTTTTGGTTGAAATTATAGGTATGCTCTTCTAGGTGCTGCATCTTTTCTTGGAGGCTCTATGCGTATGACTGTATCTCTCTGCGTCATCATGGTGGAGATTACAAACAACTTAAAGCTTTTACCTCTAATAATGCTGGTTCTTCTCATCTCAAAGGTGCGCTTTGATACTGGCTGGCTTACAATTCTCTCCGGCTATCTTTTCATTCACATAGGACTAAGGGTTACCCATGTGTAGGCTGTTGGTGATGCGTTTAATGAAGGATTATATGAAGAACAGGCTGGATTAAGGGCAATTCCATTACTTGAATCTAGACCGAAGTATCAAATGCGCTATATGACGGCAAAAGAGGCATGTGGGAATCAAAACGTAAGAATTTCTTCAGCGCCCTTCTCATGTTCTGCTCCAACTAGCAGATGCTTGTTTCCTTGTTTGTTCAGAATGTCATCTTTTTTCAGAATTGAGCTAAAGACGACTAGTGGTTTCTTTACCTTTTTCTAGTTGTAGTTATTAAACTAGCATTTCTGCTTAAAGCAAGTGAAGCAGCAGCTCTGTATTGCAACAATTCCATGATATTTTAAGTATGAACTCTACTTTCATCACCATCTGATTTGACCGTGACTAGTAACCTTAATGTTAATAAGAAGCAGAAATTTTACTAGAATTCATAGAGTCCCTCTAAGATTAGAAGAGGGTTATATTTTGGATTTTTTGCTCACTTGTACAGAATCCCAGCACTACCTTTGTGTTTTTTTATGAATACAATTATTACCATTTCAAAAAAGAAAAATCTCTTCTGACCCACACCTGTGCAGTTTCTGTGCAAATTCTAGCTCACTAACACACCCCTAATTCCTGCATCTTTTAGGTTGTATACTTCCCTCGGGTTGTGAAGGTTGCAGATATAGTTTCTATTTTGAGGAGCAATGACCACAACGGGTTCCCTGTAAGTTTAAGCTTTGTCCCTGTGCTTTGTTCAATGCAAGCTATCTGCATGTTGGATCATTCTTCTGACTCAATTATTTTTAGGTTGTTGACCACGCAAGAAGTGGGGAGACACTTGTTATTGGACTTATACTAAGAAGGTGAGAGATAGTGATGATCTTTTCTGATATTGATGCCTTATTTGGAGATAAGAGATTTTGAATGCCAGAAATCAGTAGACTTTAACAAAATATTTACTCTATCTTGTTGTTTATGCAGTCATTTATTGGTACTTCTACAATCAAAAGTTGATTTTCAGCATAGCCCTTTACCCTGTGATTCGAGAGGTGATCTTTTGCCAATCAGGTAACTCGGTTTAACTATTACTGAGGATCGCTTATTGGTGCGTCTTTGTCTACTACATGAAAAATTTACAGATACTGTATTTCTCAGGCACAACCTTAGTGAATTTGTGAAACCCGTTTCTAGTAAAGGGATATCTCTCCATGATATCCATTTCACTCCTGATGATCTGGAGATGTACATTGATCTTGCCCCATTTTTAAACCCGTCTCCATATGTTGTCCCAGAAGACATGTCATTAACGAAGGTAACGTTGTAACTTATTCCAATTGTTGCTCCTTCATTAATTTCCAAGGAATTATTTTGTCAACGCTTGCATGGAATTGAAGACAACATGACAAAAGTAGGCTAAGGTTGAAAACAAGAATTCATTCCTACTCTTGGCCGAGAGACCAAGTTTAGCCATGGTGAACATCAAATGATCAAAAATTTTAACATTCTGTTGCTGGTACAGGTATATAATCTTTTTCGTCAACTAGGACTGAGGCACTTACTTGTTGTTCCACGTCCTGCTCGTGTTATTGGCATGATCACTCGAAAAGATCTGATACTTGAGGTACCTTTGCTAGACCACCTATCTTCATTTATATTTAAAAGTTGTGATTTTTCAGTTCACTCCATGCATCTATACGAAGTCTGGTATTAAGGGTAGAGGGGTGGATACATACTCCCCCGATTTTCGAACCTGTGGGCCAACTGGGGTTGGACCAGCTAATTCACCAGGGGATTTCTCAGCTATTCGAAAAAAGTAGTTATTTTTAATTGTTGTTAATAATATATACGTTATAATGCAGGATAATGATGATCCAACGGCCGTAGAGCTCCAATCAACTAGTGTAAGGTCTCTTTCTTTATTCATACTGATGGACATCTATCTTGTTTTGATTTGCTTAAAAAATATTCTGTTTCGATTATGTGGATGTGCGCCTAATTTTTCCCAGGCGTCCAGGGACAGCTGCTACACAATTAGATAAAATGTCTAATCATACTCTAATATTTCTCATAAATGAAAAAAAAGGCCTGGCAGCTGGTCCAGATGCCATACAACACATCATACCCAGTGTAGTCCCACAAGTGGGGTCTGGGGAGGATAGTGTGTATGCATCCTTACTACCTTGTGAAGGTAGAGGGATTGTTTCTGAAGGACCCTCATCCCAAGTAACGCATATGAAACAACTGTATAAAAAAGAAATACAGTGGTGAAAAAGCCATGCTGAAAATAATGGAGAAAAGAATAGTAACAATCACAAATAATACGATAACCTAGGAAAAAGGTAATAAAAACAAGTAACTAAAAAAACCCAAGAACAAGGTAGTAGGTGAGTGTAATCATATACAGCCGTTGTGCATCATATGTAAGTCATCTTTCTTCTGTTTATCACCTTCTTGGTTCAATTTTCTAGCAGATTGATGAACTCTATTGCACTCCCTTTACTTGTAAGAAAGTTGTTGTAATAGCAACCACCTGTTGCATTGCCTGTGCATTCTTGTACTTTTTTTTTTTGCGCAGACCTCATTACTGACTAAATGGAAAAAAGAGGAGTCATTATTCCATCAATGACATTTTTGTTTGTTACTCCTATAAATCGAAACAAGTTACATGACATTGTTGTTTGTTATTCAGAGGTACACAATCTAACCATAGAGTGATAACGAGGAAAGGAGATGCACAACAGCCGCTTCTTGATGGTCTTCTTTAAAATAGAATCCCAGCGATGCACTGCTGTTTCTGCAGTGAAGAGTAGCTTCCAGCGTCCCCTCTCAAGATTTGGTGGCAGTAGATCTCACTTCATAATCTATCGTCATTAGATTCTAGGAAATGTATAGTGTATTTATTTCCCCTTGAGAGTCATGGGATTATTATAGCAATCAGTTCAGTTTTTATTTTATTTTTTGTATTTCCTGCAAATGGTGTATGAGAAATTAGTTGAAAAGCTGTGCTCCTTTTCATGGAACATTTGGAGCAATAGTTGGAAAAAAGTTGACACTGTTCCACATAATCTTGGAATTCTAAACCTATTGCAGCTGAGGCTCTTTGTGTGTCATATTTATTGTCCATTGAAGGAATTTAAATGTTTTTTGACCAAATTATGAGTGGTAAAGAGTTAAAAGACAATCTTTTCAACATCTTTTGAAACATATTTACACATGGCACACAACATATAGAGTGTGTATGTGTGTGTGTGTACAAACATTAAAAATTTTGTTTAGGTCAGGATCCAATCTCTGTTAATTTGTCAAACTCTGTCCACAATCAATGTTATTGTAAATGCTTTTCATTAAGGGTAAAATGACAAGTATAAAAAGAAAATCGTATCGCATCGACTAAAACGAAAGAGTAATTGTTGAATACTTGAAATATTTGATTTGGCATAAAAACAGTGAAGATTTTATCCTTTCAACTCTTCCTAACATGTAAAATGAATTGACAAGCTTTATGTATAAAATGATATGAAACAAAAAATACAATCTTGTACAAGTTTTGTATTGCCACATGACAAAACTGACAGAAAATTGTCTTACAATTATTACATTTCTGTAAAAACAAGAGAAATGAGTGTTCTCAACTTTAGGAAAAACTAAAGACTATTGTCCCCTCCTCAAGCAAAACTGACAAGAAGAACTAAAGCAACAGCAAAAACAACACCAATTTTACTAGGAAGCCAGTAAAAAGCATGACTAGGAGAAGGTGCAGGCACTGCTACAGCAGGGATGTGACTCAACGACGAAGGAGATTGAGATGGAGACACAGATGATGAGACGCGAAGAACATTGATATCGACTTTCTGTCCTGCTTGGCAATGGCCAGGTACACCACAAAGGAAGAAATGATGGCCATGAGCAGTTATGGTAATAGAGTCTTTCCCAGTTGTGTGTGTTGCAATAGGAGCAGATGCATTACAGGATTGGTATTCAGCATGTGTTACTTGCATCACATTGTGGAATTGTGGGCTGTACTGGAAAACTGTCACGAAAAGAGTCTTAACTTCTATACACCAATAATTCGTTAGTCAAGTCACTTAAAAGATAACTATAGAGAATCGCCCATAGAATAACCAAATGACCAATATTTGTGATGCATGGTTAGTAGTGGGGGGGGGGGGGGGGGGGGGGGGAGGCTTTCAAATTTCAATAATGAAAGCGTGAAAGTGCAACACTCAAATGAATTCAATAGCAAACCACATAATAGTGATAGGTGTGCATTAAGTGGAAAAGCTATTACACCTAAAAAGCAAATGCAACTTGATATATATATATATATATATCTTTTTCATTTAAAAAGTAGTACGATAGTTATTAAAATTTTATCTAAGCAGATGTAATTAAAATTTTAAATGATTGACTCCCAAAATGACAATATTTCAAACAGAGAAAGATTATGAACTTTTGGTAGTTATTTCAACTTAAAATGTGTGCTTGTCTGTTAAAAGTGTTTGTTTTCACTATAACAAAAACAACTTTTAGCGGCAATAACTAAACATAACAAAGAGAGGTAAAGTCCTTATCAGCATCAGTTAATTGTTATTAGATTCAATATCGCTATAGGTTTTAGACACATTTACAAAGAGTGTTAATTACCGTTAATTAATTGTCGCTAAAGAACAATTTTAAAAAAACAGTTTGGTGCACAAAACATCCCGCGTTAGCAGGGACCAAGGAAGAACCGCACACCAACATAGACCGTCTACCTTAATGCAAACATTAGTAATTGCTTTAAGACTACCTTTCCTATTGTGTGAAAAAGAATAAACTATAAATTTTCCAGCAACAGTAGAGAAAAAGGCTACTTTGAGCAGTGCATGTGTCATGTGTGCCTAAAATTTTCAGGCTACAATACAGATAAAGGCTATTATTATGCAGAGCATGTGTGCCTAAAAGCATTTAAAAAATCATATTTTTATGTAATTTAGGGTGTATAGTGGAAAGCACAAGGGGCTCATTCTTGTTAGTGGGGTTCCCTAAAGTCAAAACAAATAGTAACTGTTTCAATTTCCTTCCAACAATTTTATAACTTCTATTGAAACAAAATGGCTCACCAAAGGTTGTAGTGTGATAATTTACCTTTCTTCGTCCTTAGTCAGATATCTCTGGATCAATTTTAAGAATGAAAAAAGTCTTGTTGGAATTATGTACTTTCTATATGAGTATCGAATACATAGTGGAAAAAATGTCTCATACTCATGAACAACACAAGAATTTTTAAATTTTCTCAATAGAGGACCACAATTTTGTGAAAGGTTAAGCAAAAGTTTAAAACTTTATCCTCATAATAACAACAAGAGTACATGAATCACCAAGAATTTTGGAAACAAGAGAAAAAAATTCATGTTTTTGAACATTAAGTAACAAAAGCTAAGTGGAAAAGACATACCAATAACATCACCAACTTGAAATGTTTTAGTAGCAGCCCATAGTTTGTAATCAACATTACCAATAGTTGTCCAACCAGCTGATTCTCCAACTTTATAAACAGCACAAAAACAAAGCTGCATAAAACAAGCCAAAATCAAGAAAAGCAAAGTCATTTTAGGTATGTTTTCAAGAATATAAAAGGCCATATGGATAGGTAGGTACTAAGAATTTGACTATTTTGGGTTTTTTTCGAGTAGTTATTTTTTTTTAGGAAGAGGAGAGAAGTGAAGAGTTTGAATGTGATCTAGCAGTTATATATATCTTGAGGAATTTAGGACTAAGGATTTTTTTTTGAAAATTAAATTTGTGCTGCTAATGATAATGATGTGTCTCTTTAATAAGAGCACCACTACAGTTACTAGGAGGCAGTCGTCATGCCTTGTCAAGATTACCCAAAAAGAACAAAATAAAAAGAAGAATAAAGGAAGTGGTCCGTTGGGTTTTAAAAAGTGTGAATGGAAAATGAAGAGTTGCGACTTTTATAAAGAATTGTGACTTTGATGAAAAGTTGCGACTATTATGAAAAGTTGTGATTTTTATCAAAAGTTGCGACTTTTATCAAAAGTTGTGACTTTTATGAAAGGTGGTGACCTTTCCAAAAGATTGTGACTTTTCAAAGGTTTGTGACCTTTCCGGTAAGGCACAATAAGAACCTTTTCACACTACCCTCTGTTTTCTATAAATTGAGAGATTTCCTCTCATTTTAAAAGAACCAATTTCTGGACTTCTTCTTTTACTACTAAATCTAGTATTCTAACTGTACTTTACTGTCGTTGAGTGGCTCGCTGACACCAGCGTTTTGGGTATCAATACATTGGTGATTGAGATCATTCTATCTTGGGAGGACATATTCCAAATCAAACCTCGGATACTAGAGGGGAATAATTTCCTTAAGGGGACACTGTGCATTCATTGGGCTTGATCTTCTTTCTGTTTTTCCAGATTCTGGTATGTGTTACAGATTTTAGATTTGTAAATTAATTTTATGTTCTTTTGTTCTTCACTGGTTCATTAAACTTTGGTAACTTCGTGTTTCTGCAAAGTTTGTTGGAATCAGTAAGATTCTTTAAACACAAATTGACAACAATTCTTCTTTAAGAAAAAATATTTTGTATATTTTTTCTAATCTATTTCTGATTCTAGTTTCTCTACTAGTTTTAATTTTCTAGTTGTGAAAATGTTCTTAAACTTTATTGTATCTTACCAAGTTCTTCAAAGTTTTGTTCTAAGTATCTTAGGAATACAAGATGCTCAACACTCATCATGCCTAGAAAAGTAAGAAGTGCATATCGATAAAACACAGGAGAGATGTTGAATATGTAAGTAGGTAAGCATTATCTACTAGTGACAAGTTTTAAAGTAGTACGGATCTGAGCCCAAAGCAACAAGCTTGGGACAAATTTCAGTACTGAGTCTAGGCAAATGTCCATAGAGGGAGTGTGTATGTGACATCGCTTCTTAAGATAAAAAGTCTCACAGTGTGTTTTTGGATTTATAAGTAAGCACATCTTTTTCAGTAGTGATGCATTTTAAAGTCATACGGACCTAGACTCAAAATGAACAATATCACTAACGGGTTGAGCCGTTACAACATGTTTTTTTCATATGAAGAAAATATTATTATTTTCTTTTGGAACATAAGTTAGAATCAATAAATTATATTTCTAAAGCAAAATAGAAATTAGTTATGTACGTAAATATATAAAAAGAAGACTTATTTGTGAGGTATATGGTGTGTTCAAAGTATTTCGCGTTTCACGTATCACATTCCAAAGGGATATAATGATAAAGGTAGACAGACTCCCTTAAAGCAAATATTAATAGTTGATTCTAATGTTATATGGAGATAATTTTATAGTTGGATTATTTTGTTGAAAGCAACGTGGGTACATAGAATAAACATTTATGTATAGTTGGCAGTTGGGAGAAATACAGTTGGAAGACTTGAAAGGAAAGGATGTTTGGGTATTGGGTGGGTAGTTAGGATCATACCACACAAATTAAAGTGTATATATGTTGCTTTTTAGTTTAAAGGTCAAATTTGTTTGTTTGGTATGAAGATCAACAAATTTTCTTAATGGGGGTAATGATGTATGTCTAGATGAAGAGTAAAGCCTTCAAGTTTGGTCCAAGTACGAGATATACAAAGTTATCATAGGGAATTAATTAGTAAATCAACCTATACTTGGTGCCTGTGCATGTAGGTGAGAGATATATAGTAACACTTAATGAAATAATTAAAAATATTCGCAAGCAGTGGCGGAGTTAAGGAGCGTAAGAAATTCATCTGAATTGTGCATCTCGAATGAAGTGTTTCTTCTTAAATAGATTTTATATATAGAATGTGAATTTAAATTAATCAAAACTTCAACCTATTTATATATATGTCGAATACAAACTCGAAAGCCAAAAAAAAAAATTAAAACAAATTGAGTGACAGTGGTGGGGTGGGGTGATGACTGATGAGAGGAAGAGGGAATACTTGATCAAAATGAAAATCTATATTTTCAAAATACTACATATCTTATCACTTATTAAGAGTTTTCTACCATATATTTAGGAAGATACATGTAGAATTGATACCTGATAAACTAAAATAGGGAGAGAGACGAGCGAGATTTGTTATGTATTCTAATACATGTGAATCCACTTGGATACAGTTTATCTAGAATAAATTACACCTAATTTTGACATCGTACATCTTCAGATATATGTATCTAGACAGGTAAGACTCATGGAGACATCTCAAATAGGTAAATTGGTTTGGAAAGATGGGGAGAAAACATTCATCATTTAAGTTTGAGTAGCTAAAGTTAAGATAGAAGTTCGGACGAGCGGGGAATATCATAAACTCAAAGAAGATCAGGGTCAGCCGACCTAGAAGAAAACATAAATATTGTAAAATTAGAGTATATCTAAACAATTAATAAAATTTATGTAAGTTTCTGTTATTCATTATAAGCGAAAACTTAAAAAATGGTGAGAAAAGAAATGAAGAGCAGTGGTTATTAGCTTGTTGGCTAGTTGTCCACATTTATTGTCACTCGACTCTGTCCGTTTACAAAGACTGATTGAAAATAAATTTTGTGTTAAAAAAAAAGAAGAAATAAAGGCTATCACAACAATTCAAAGTTTCATTCTCACCAAACTTTCCAATATCTTGGCCCCTACCTCAAGTCTTCCCTGAGGAAAATTAATGGAAATTTCTGAAAAAAGAACACAACATTAATCATAAATATATTTAACGAACAATGTCATTGAAGGGCATAACATAAAACTGTTTAGTTACATAATACATTGAAGTAGTTCTTAATTAGAAAAAGAAATATTGGCTCGCTTAGCTTATTCAACTAGCAATCAATAATTAAGCACCAAGATTAGATTGGGCTTCTTACTTAATGTACTGTTGGCCAAAATTCTTTTCAACTAAAATGGGCACAAGTATCTAATGTATCAATATTATATAAAAAGTGTATATTTATATACACGTGATGTATATATAGCTATATATACGAGATGTGTATATATTTATATACATTGTTATACAATATTTATATGTTTCAGCAATTCATCTTCCTCAACGAGCTGACTTTTATTTCAATCCCGACCAACTCTAATCTCCTATAAATACTTCCAAATTTTAGATTGAGCTCCTCTCAATGTTTTGAGTCGATCGAATATTAAAATTTGAGCTTCCAAGTTGTTCAATGGGCACCAGCTCAAATCTTTCTCTAAACAACTCAAATTTAGATATGAGCACATTTCGATGTTTCAATTCGTTTGATATCTATTTTGATCTCTTGAAATAATCCACGTTTGCGACATATCAATTTTAATAATTTGAGTTTTGAAGCTCCTCATCGGAAGATTTCAAACTTGGTGATGGAAGATTTTATGTTGGGTGAGGCTCTCTGCATCTATTGCTTCTCATATACATGTGAATCACACTAAATACATATATTTTTGATACTAGATACATTCTGAAAATACAGATACGTAGGGAGAAAGGTGAGCAAGAGAGGGAGAGAGGTGAGCGAAAGAGGAGAGAAGCGAGCAATAGAGTTATTGTATCTCACGTACACGTGAATCCACTAGATACAATATATTTAGAATAAATAACACTTAATTTTGACCTCCTGTATCTGAATGCGCCAAATACATGTATCTTGGGACCGAAATTCAGTACGGATGGTAATTTTGAAAACTCGCAAGGCACATAATTAGCCCGTAAACTAATGAAATTTGTGTTGGTTGTCCATGTATATATATATATATATATATATATATATATATATGTATATATATATATAGTTTCATGGATATAATACATGATATACAGAACATATATCGATAAACAAAAATGATATACACGAATATATTAGTAGGTACACACAAATATACATCACCTAAAAAAACATATACGGCCAGTTTCTTATTTACCTATGGTTCCATTAATTTTCACCATAGTGTATTGATCTCTTATCTGTTGATAAACAATTGCAAGTACTATTACTTTATGTTTGAGGATTAGAGAAGATAAAAAGAGGAAAGCGAACTAAGAATTTAATTCACACCTATTTCGTGAGACTCCTATCGATACCACTAGACAATAAGTTCTGATCTTAACCACTAGACAATACCACTAAGAATTTGGACCCCGGCTTGTAGGAGGAGGATTCGTCGTCCGAGCTTGTCCACACAGTAGATGGAGACTAGGGTGGAGAAGATGTTGACTGCTCCAGGTATGACGTACGGTTAAGTTAGAGAGTTGTCTCGCTTCCCAACTCTAGCGTTGAAAATATAACAGGTGCGTAAAACATAATGGCGTTCATCCCTGTGAATATCTGTTGCAAAACAAAAAAGAATTAAAATGAACTTTCCCAAAATGTACTACTAATAATTTGAAAAATAGCATTAAACTGACATTCAAATTTTGTAGGTATTGATGTTTATACATTTTAATATTAAACCTAAACATTAAGTGGATATAAATTGAAAAGAATGGGATCATTCTTTTATTTTTGGATGTAACTCATATAACCACTCTTGCCATAATCTACCACTAACTATCCAGCAATGTCCCATGTTCTACAATATTATTATCCCTATCCATTTGTTCATTCATTTGATTCAATTGTAATTTAGGGTAATTTGTGGCATATACGTACATTAATAATGGG